CCATTTTCAAATGTTTAAATATCTGAAATTATAAACAAGGAACAGGAAGATGACAATATGCTGGCACTGGGGATGACAGCCAAGGAGAGCTGCCAGGTGCCTGGGTTGGGGAGTAGCTGGCCGTGCTGGGCCAAAAGACTGGGGATGGTGAGCCTGGCCATGGGGTGTCCCTGCAGAGGAAGCAGAGACCCACACAATTGAGTAATGGGCACGGTGTGTGGGGGCACAGCAGGCACATGCCTCCAACTTGACCTGGGCCGGAGCAGGTGAACTCTTCAAACAGGGCATTTGAGATCCAGGCATCCTTAAACTACAGCCTGCTGGCCACATGTGGCCTGCCAAGGACATTTATCTGGCCCACTGGGTGTTTTTGCTGCCGCTGCCTATCCTGCTTAGCTTAAAGTGACCAGATTTTAACATTGGTAAAGCAGGACACCATTGACGGGGGCGGGGTAGGGGCGGGGCAGGGCAGGGCCTGACAACAATGCAAACTTTGATAAGCACTTCTCGATAATCACTTCTCAACAATTATTTGTTATTATTGCAGTTTAACATTATAAAATTAACAAAAATAATATAATACTCATATCCTGGTGAAATAGCCAAATGGCAGCCAAGAACTGTATATTCCCTTCCTGTTCTCCCACCTGTTTGTGCATTCTTTCCAAAAATCGAGACCTTTTTAAAACGTTGCGGGACATGGGACAAATTGTTAAAAATTGGGACTGTCCTGCCAAAAGCGGGACGTCTGGTCACCCTAGCTTACCAGCCAACTCGTCCTAGGTCTGCAGTCCAGCCCTCCAACGTTCTGAGGGACAGTGAACTGGCCCCCTGTTTAAAAAGTTTGAGGACCCCTGACCTAAACAGTCAGCTTGAAACTCCACTTCACGTTTGTGCCAAAGGCAGGAAATGAAGGCAGAGGGGCCTGGAGGCCACTAGGAGACAAGGCCTGGGCAGAGCAGGGACAGGGAGAAGCAGGAAGCTAGGAGAAAGCTTCCCCAGGCCTACAAGCTGGAGGTGGCCTACAGGATCTCCAAGTGCAAGGGGGAGGGCCGAGCCAAAGGGGAACATCTAGGGGACCCACCAAGTCTGACCTTGGGCCCCAACAGGACCAGACTGGGTAGAAGACAGAACAGTCATGAGCAGCCCCTCATGCCAGTGCTGAGAGGACAGCCCTGGGCTCTGGCCGACCAAAGGGGCAGTGGCAGGTGGGGCACAGCCACCATGGCAAACTGGGAACTGGGAAGGGTCTTCACTCCAGCTGTGTCCTAATGCTGCCTTTCTTGTCTGTGGGAGCACAGGGGGATCCCCATGTTTCAGAGTAGAAGGAGCTTGGCTGACTCAGTGGCTATCTACACATTAAGGCCAGCTCCAGCTGCACAGCAGCCCTGAGCTGCTGAGGGGGCAGGAGGTGGGTAGGAAGACATGGACGGCCCCGAGGGACCTGCCTACCAGCCCAGGGTGCTCAGTCTCGCCCAGATGTGGCTTTTCACCAGACCCAAGCCCGAGGCCCTCAAGGCCCTGCTTTTGCTCATTCAGAAGGTTGGCAAACTCAAGCCCAGATCTGGAAGGCATTCTCATCCCCCAGAGCCAAGGTCACTGGCCCTGACATCCCTGGGTGGGGGCACACCCTTCCCCACAGCAGGAGAGAGGCAGGTTCTAAGGCCAGGGGAGGCTGAGGAAAGCAAAAGCACCCCCCAGGCGCAGGAGCCCCACCTACCCCCTTCAACAGCTTCTCTGAGGGAGGGCTCAGTTGAGGGGCACACAGAGAACCACTGGCCTGGTGAAACCGTCCTTGGGCCAATCAACAGCTCCTGACCCAGGTCGTCCTGGCGGCCACCTGGTCTGCACAAAGGGCTCCTCCCTCCTAAGGTTGAGCTCCACTGTCCCTCAAGCCCTGCCCGTGGTGGCAACCTGGGCCCCCTCGCTGGCTACCTGGGTTGTAGCACCTGCTGCTGTGTGCCACCCTGCTTTTCAGGGGGGTGAGGCCTGGCACCCACTCAGGCCAGAGGGGACACCCTGGGGAGCTATCGCTTAACGGGGCTTGTCACAGACCCTGAATGTCACGTTCACTCTGGACCCCAACCCTCAGCACCTGGCAGGCGCTGTACACACGCATGTGGCCTCTGACTAGGTGATTTGCCCGACGCCATGGAATTCTTACGACGGCAACACCATTGTGATCCCCCTGTCTATAACTGAGACAGCAGTGACACAGGGAGGTGACATCATCAACACTGGAGGGGGAGGTGGTGAGACTGAGACACTGTTTGACTCTAGGGCACCAGTGTTCAGCCACCTTGGAGGCCTGATCCAGGAGACAAGCTGCCCCAGCCCCAAGAGCTGATGCTGTACAACCTTGAGGGACAGAGACGGCAGCCCCCGATTCCTGTGGACAAGCTTTATAGGCTGGGCAAAGACAGGGCATGAGGCACGTCCAGCCTAGGGCCTTCCCTGAGAAAACTTCAGATCTTCCACCCTAAGCTTTGCTGGAGTAGATGTCACCTCCTTTTCCTCTCCCCTGTCTTCTCAGGGGAAAGCTGGAGTGGCCGGGGGTTAGGAACTAAAGGGATCAAGAGCACAGACAACATAAGAGCCTCTGGCTCGCCCCGTCAGCAGGACTGATGCCTGGGGTGCAGAACAGCACAGGGGCAGAACGCAGCAGGCACCTCACATGGGGACCTGCAGCATTTATTCAGAATGGCAGCTGATGTCAGCACTACAGAGGGTGCTCTCAGCAGGGCTGAGCTGCTACAGCCAGTCTGGGAAGTGAGGGAGAGTTTGTCATGCTCCAAACCCCCAATGCATCCGCTCTCCAGCACAGCTGAAAGTGCAACGAGGAGCACGCCCTGTGGGGTTTAAAACATGAGGTGGAGGGCAAGAAGCAGGGCCAGGGACAAGCAGTGGATCTGCAGGCAGCAGAGGCGCGAGACCACAGTGCCTCCTCCCTGTTTGTACTGGAGACAGGACATTTACAGAACAGAGAACGCACTTAACGCCAGTGGTGTGGCGATGTCAGGCGCTGCTGGCATCCTCCCCTTCACTTCCTGTAGCAGGCTACAGAGCAGATGTTGTCAACCCTTCTGCACAGGCAAGCAGCCCCCAGCAGCCCAGTGACTTGCTTACGCTCATGGTCACGGTCACAGAAAGTGGTGGAGCCAGCATTCAGCATGAGACCCGCCTCTCGGAGGGCAGGTGCCCCCATCTGGGGGTTTCCTTCCTGGAGGTCATGACAGCACTGATGTGTCAACTGGGAGAAACAGTCCCATCTGCCACATCGGGCTCGGCTTCCCCTCTTGTCCTCCATTTTTACCCACTTCTAAGATACCTGCTGCTGGGACACATTTGGGAAGTTTTAAGGAGGGACCTGACATTGTTGACCTGGTAACAATTTGCCTCTTTAAAAAGATTTTTAAAAAGTCAAGTTTTGTCTAAATTCTCATCTGTTGGGGAAGAAAAAGTGTGCTCATGTCCCTGAGTGCGTGTTTGCGTGTGCACACACGTGTGTGTGTATACATGGAGATGTGTGCACACGCATGTCTTTCTATGTCCACGTGTGTATATGTGCATACATGTGTGTGCATGCCTTTGTTGGTGTGCATGTGTATGCATGTTTGTGAATGGATGTGTGTGCACTGGAGCATGTGTGTTCATGTTTGTCTGTGTGTGCACAGAAGTGCACACTGGAGCAGGGAAATATTTAAGGGAGGGAAGCAGGGAAGCTATTACATTTCTATATAGCTGCAGGCACCTGGTCCTGGAAGTCAGGGCAACTGGGTCTAGTTGTGCACCTGCCATTGACTAACTGCTCACCACTGATGAAATGGGGGGTTGACACCTGCCTGGAAGACGTTCCCTACTCTCAGGTGTCTGAGTCTGTGAAGTGGCTGCAGCGAGGGAAGCAGGGCTGCACTTCCCATTTCATGGGGACCAACCAAGCTGGATCCAGGGCGAGGTGGCTTTTTGGCTTAAATCTGCTGATTAAGGTGGCTGAGTGCACATCTGAGAAACGGAGAGCCCCAGACCTGGCAGGTGCCTGCTCCGCGCCTGGCTGGGGCATCTGCCCGGGTTCCCTCTGCTCCCAGTGCTCCCTCCACTGCCAGGTGAGAAGCAGGGGCTCACTCAGGGGGCTCACTCAACCTTCTCAAACGTCCGTGGAGTCTGGGAACAATTTCCTCACAATGGCTTTTCCCCAGGGACTTTAGGGGGAGCTAAGGAGAATCCCTCAGCAACCGAGCTCGCTCATTGTCCCTCTCTGCCAATCAGAAGGAGGGGTCCAGGGACGGGGGAGGGGGTTAGCAGGGGAGGGGACCTGAACAAAGGGGGGTCTGTTCTGAAGCCCTCTCCTGTGTAACTTAAGTTGGTTAGGGAAACCCAACATTGGGAGGACTTCCCATCTCCAAACCGGAGGGCAGGTGATCTGTAGAACAGGACCCACAGGCACCCAGTCTCTCTGCATTTGGGAAACTGTAGCACTCTCAGTGCCCCTCTGCTGTCTGGGCTGACTGTCCGCGGGGACGAGGTGGGGATCAGCCCCTGACACGCTGGCCTGCCCCTCACACCTGCCCCCTCCCGCCAGCGCCCTCCACTGACAGTGACCAGGGGCTGTCCCGCAGGTCTGGGAATGTCTGACCTGGAGGTCTTTCCACCAGAAATTAAACGCTTAACGTACCAACCTTTGAATGTAAAAACTCAGCCTAACCTCCTCAATTTTTTTTAAAAGCTCTGCCTATGAAAAAGAAAAATGCCCCCCACCCCGTGAGTTGCCCCTTCTCGCAGGAAGCCGGCGCTTGGGGAGCCCATCCCGCGCCCCGGCTGGAGGCCCAAGCTGGCGGAGCGCACGGAGGCCGCAGCCAGACCTGGGCCGCGCGGACTCAAAGACAGCCCCCACCCCTCGCTGTCCCTGTGTCCTCGGGCTCTGTCCCTCGGGCTCCCAGTGCTGTCCCCCGGCGGGGCTCGGCGTAGCGGGGGCGCGGCCGCGGCAAGGCAGGGAGGGGTACCTTCTGAATGCGCCCATCGATGTCCAGGTAGATGGCCTTGGGCCGGTAGCTGGAAGAGCCGGATCCCATCTTGTGCCCAGCGGCTGCACTTGGACTTTTTACTGTACTTTCCGAGGCCAGCCACCGGGAGGGCGGGGAGCGGGAGGGGGCGGCGGGGGCGCGCAGCCAACCAGAGCCGCTGTGCCGTAGGGTCTCCGCGCCGCCTCCGCCGCCTCCGCACCCTCCTCCTCCTTTCTCGAGCTCCGGCTCCGCTAGCGCTCGGCCGCTCCGGGCTCGAGCGCTGCTCCTCCCAGCTGCCCGCCTCTCCTCTGCCTCCCTCCCTCCCTCTCAATCTCTCCGCTCCCTTTCCGTCTCTCTCTTCTCTCCCTCACCCTCCTCTTCCCACTTTAAGGCACACCCCCTTCTTCTTCCTTTTGACTCCAGCCACCTTGGGGCAGGGCCAGGTCGGCAGCCTGTCTCCAGATGTCCTCTGGACAGATATCCGTAGGACCACCTTTGCCTCCCACGTGGTCAGCCAGCCATCAGCAGACTGGGCTGACAATGCCCCGAGCGGTTGCTATGGTTGTTACCCAGACCCAAGCCCACTTAGCACCAGAAACGTTCAGGCTTCCTCTCTCCCATTGGAATAGAAAATGGGAAATTTTCCTTCTCATTCATCCACATCCTTTCCCTAAGTCTTCTGTGCGTTCTAGGGGGTGTCAGCCTCTTCCAGCTGCACCCGAGCTGAAATGGCAATTTTATTTCCGTCCTTTCTGTAGCCAGAGGGAGAATCACCCAGCCTGAGGCCCGATTCAGCCCCATCTCCTGAATCCCCCTTTATTAATTGCCACAGTGGGGCGGAAAGGGGGGGGCGGGGGGGCACATGGGGCAGCCTCTCGACCTGCAGATTACAGAAGGGGCTGTGTCTCTCCAGCTCTCCTGGGGCTATCCTGGTGGGAATGAGAGAGAGTGTGTGTGTGTGTGTGTGTGTGTGTTCTTAGAGCTGTTGCTTTTGGAAGCAAGTGGCAAAACCAGTTTATTGTTTCGTTGGAATTGAATTCCACACCACCACTTCCCATCTGTTGAATGTCTGGGTTTTGCTTGAGAGAGAGCCCAGTGCACCCAGCCTCCTCCCTCCCTGCGAGGCCTGCGGGAGCCAGGCTAACCAGCCATGGCCAGCGGTCATTTCCTCTGCCTTCTCTGGTCATCCCAGTCTCCACCTGGTGGACAGTCACTGGCTTTACAGACTCCTCCTGGCCATCTGGAGCATGGGCCAGGGCTGGGGCCCTGGGGAAAGTAAGAACTCCCCATTTGTCCTTGGGGCATCCATAGAGGTAACTCCTTAGGTGAAATCTGTGGCCTTTGGTTAGTCCAGCCCACATGTCACTTCGTGTCCCCCTGCCTGCTCTCACACTTTGCCCACACTTCCAGCATAGTGAGGGCCCGTGTCAGGGTGAGATTGGCTTTGCCACTGACTAGGACTGGGAAGGGGGCCTGGAGGCTATTGAGGTGGGTCACAGTGGGCCACCTGATTCACCATGTGATAACATGTCGCCAGATAAGTGAAGTGAGCACTGTAATTAATAGTTCAATCTGTTGTCAATGTTTTGGCACTACCTGGGCTAATCTGAAGGGGGGGGGGCTCTGTACACTGCCTGCGTGGAAGTCTCACCAGCAGATGCTCCAGACCTTACTGTAGCCTGGCCTGGTCTCCTCTAATCCCTTTGTTGGCAGAATTCCTTTATGCAGTAGGTCCCTGGTCTTAGAGATTTGAAGAATGAACCGAGGACACACAGATCAGTGAGAAGATCGGCTTTATTAGACAGAAAGGAATGAAAGGGACCAGAGCCTCTGCCAGAGGAGGGGAGACCCAAGTGGGAAGTCCCTGGGTGGGTCTTTTTGTCTAGGGGTTATATATACTGTTTTGTCAATAGGCAGATCTTGAGAATTGCATTAGGCTAGCGCTTGACAGACTTCAATGTTGATTAGCAAATGAATGAGTGTGTTAATAAGAGAATGTAGTCCTTCCAGCTCCAGGCAAAAGGAGCAGGAAATCCACTCCTGAAGAGGCCTAGTTTACATGAAATACTAGAAAAACTGCTCTCTCCTCTCTTGCTTTATTCAGAGAGTGAAGTTTGGAGGGAAAAGTATATTTGCTTAGGCCTAGAAAACAGGTCTTTTCCAGCCCTGAATGGGGGAACCCTGTGTCAACTTCCTTCTGGAGTCCCGGAGAGACCGAGGGCCTAAACCCAGAGTGTGGTTTCCCAGCAGATTGAAGCATGTGGTTCTGTGACTCTGTGTGTGTCCAGCAGAGCTGGCTGGCTGAGTGTGTTTTTACAATAATAACCACTCCTGTAATTATTCTCCTTGGTGTCTCTGTTCTCAGGAGGTAGACTGTGCCCTAGAGAGGAGCACCTGCTTTCACCCGATCCCCTGGGGGAGAAGTGGCCTTCCATTCAACAGGACTTTCATCCGAGTGTGCTGGGAGCTGCCCTGTGCACTGACATAGTAGCAAACAAAATAACTAAAACTCCCCAGCCTGGGGGATCTCGTGTTTCAGTGGGGGAGGCAGACAAGATGGGATGAGAGAATAGAATAGGTAGTGTGTTGGATGATAACTAGTGCAAGGATAAAACCATTCGGGGGAAGGGGATACGGAATGCATGGGGGAGGGGTCTTGGAATTTTGGAGAGTGGCTGGGCAAAAGGGAAGGCCTGGTGGAAGTTAGGATGGAGGAGCCAGGGCATGTCCAGGGGAAGGCCTGGTGGAAGTTAGGATGGAGGAGCCAGGGCACGTCCAAGGGAAGACCTAGTGGAAGTTAGGATGGAGGAGCCAGGGCACATCTAGGGGAAGGCCTGGTGGAAGTTAGGATGGGGGAGCCGGGGCACGTCCAGGGGAAGGCCCGGTGGAAGTTAGGATGGAGGAGCCAGGGCACGTCCAGGGGAAGGCCCGGTGGAAGTTAGGATGGGGGAGCCGGGGTATGTCCAAGGGAAGGCCTGGTGGAAGTTAGGATGGAGGAGCCGGGGCACATCCAGGGGAAGACCCTTCTAGCACAGGAAGCAGCCTCATGTTACTGCCCCTCATTCAGGAGGCCTATCTGGTTGGAGTGGCAGGAGGAGGGGGCAGTGGGCCAGAGGATGGAGAGGTGACAGCCAGGTGGACCCCTTCGGCTTGCTCTGCGTCTGCTGTGGGCCATGACGGAGGTGGTACAGAGGAGAGGTGAGGATTGTGTTAGCAGGAGCCTCCTGACTATAGCAGAGAGGCACACTGAGGGGTTAGAGCTGGGGCCAGGACAGGGAGACCAGTGGCCACCAGCTGCCGCTGTCTTTGCAAAGCATCATTGTGGTTTGGACCATGGTGGGGTGTTGGGAATCTTTGGAGAAACAGACCAAAAGTGAGAAGTTGGCTCACAGTGATGGAGGTGAAGTCCTACCATGCACCATCCACTGGCTGGAGACTCCAGAAAGCCGGTGGTGTAGTTCCAGCCCAAGGCTGAATGCCTGAGGCCCAGGGGAGCTGATGGTGTAAATCCCAGTCCAGGGGCAGGAGAAGATGGACGACCCAACTCAGGAAGAGACAGAACAATTCCTGCCCTCACCTGTGGTTCTGTCAGGCCCTCCATGGGTGGGCTGAGGCCACCAGTCAAACACTGACCTCTTACAAAACACCCTCACCCAGAAACCATATTTCACCAGCTCTCGGGCAGCCTGGGCCCAGCCGGGTGGACACAGGTGGACCTAATGTCACCATGCTGAGGAGGAGTTGATCCTACACCCAGGTTGGGGTCCTTGGGGTCTTTGTTCCTGGTTGTGTCTGAGGGTGATGTTGTCCCTATGGTCCCCTCCTCCCTTCTGCCATGATGTCACTCTGCCTACAGCCTTATTGCTTGGTCCTAGACAGCCTCAGTGCAGGTTCTGAAAGCCGTGACCCCTTCCTGCCCACCAGGTCAGCCCAGGGCTCTCCTAGCGTCCTAACCCTGCATTCCGGCTCCAGCCCCACACGGACTGCAGTTTCTTCCAGTACCTTCCAGGGGATACACAGGCTCATTCCTGTATGCAGAGCTCACTCTTTAATTCCCAAAAATCATACCAAAGAGAAATTTCAACTTAAGGCATCAGAGCCAAATTGAAAATCGGGAGGAGCTGAGCCCTCAGCCAAGGATGGAGACTGGTGTGAGGAGCTGGCTGCTGGGTCCCTCACAAAAGATGGTGAGGTGACGCCACCCAGAGTGGGGAGCCAGCCTGGCTGCCCAACATAAGGGCTGGGAAGCAAGGGACAAGTCTAGAGCAGGGGCGTCCAACCTTGTTTTTTCTCTGCCCACTTTGGAAGACTAAGAGGTGTCTTGCACCACACGTGAAATACACAGACACTAACAAAAGCTGATGAGCAAAAAAAAAGCTCCATGCCTATGTTTTGTGATACTCTGCACCACAGATAAGCAATAAGTACATAATTAAATAAATAAATAAAAAGTCCTTACGGAATCAGCATGAGGCCTGTGACTGCAGCAAGGTGAGCACCCCTGGTCTAGAGGGTGCACCTACGCTGTGTGGCCAGGCCAGGCAGCGTGTGCCCCTCACAGCAAAAAGCTCCCAGCATCTGCTCCAGCAACTGGCCTGGCCTGAGGACAGGTCAGAAGCAGGGGCTGGTGGCGGCTACTGCGCTGTGCCCAGGGGATACCTCCCAGGCTGTTCTCAGATCTAAGGAGTGTTTCTCCTTACTGTTCTGAAAAGGTTCTGATTACTGCCTCCCCTCACCCTTCTTGTTGCACTAGGGACAAAATCAGGGCATGAAATAAGCCAGATGTGGTCGCCTGCTTGCAGGAGATAAGGCACTGGGGTGGGGGCTTGTTGAAGGGAACTGAGGCCCCCTGGGCTCTGGAAATGTTACAGGACAGGATTGAAATGAGTGAGCGTGTCAGAAGCAGGACATTTTCCCTTCTGACAGGTTTGCTGTTGCACTGAAATACGATTGTTTTGTACGTCTGTGATGAACTTGAACACTAGCTCTCAGGGAAGACCACTGGGCAGGATGGGCCAGAGACAGGGGTGTACACGGTGTGGCCTGTCCGCCCTGAGCTCCAGTCAGAGGGAACTGCACAGAGGTCTCACTGCACTGAGTCAGTGTAGCAGTATTTGATT